AAATCACACAATTTACATTTCTTTGTAGAGTAAAAACGTTACAAAGATTACAAAACAAAGGCAATAATTATAATTATATCTAAATATATAAAGTAGAAAAAAAACAAGCTTTATAATATTGGTATATGTTGATCAATGTGTCAACTACCTAAAATACTTCGAGCATTCACAAAGCCACATCATTTTGAGCCGTAAATTTCGTGCTTATCCTTTCTTTCTCTCTACCAATATCTGAAAGATGTGGGCCAATATTATGTCGAACCTATACGTGTACTACAATCTCCATCTAAATCTGCAACGAACTTCGATGCGAGGCAAATCGTGGGTTTCCAATTAATCCCCCTACATCCAGTAAGCTGCCGATGCTCTCCCTTTGATCACAGATGATCACAAAGTTTGTGAACTCCATGCTATTATTTACAGCTAGCCTCGAGTGCACGTGTACGATATCATTGCGTGAGTGATAAATTTTACACTCTATGTCTAGGTTAGCATTGCAATGTGTATGTACGTTTAACCTAGCACTACGTTTAGACTGAGCTTTCTTATGTATATTTGGCACATCACTGAAATAAAATGTTTATGCGTTTGCGTGGACTAAAGCTCTTTTCCCCCTCTATTTTTACAGTAGTTTTAATAGAACAACTGTTATTTTATAAAGTGTAATGATCGCCATTATAAAACGCAGTGGAAGCGATGGCTAGATTCAAACAGAGACAGAAACACAAAGGATCTCGTCAGCTTCACCACAGCTGAACAACAAAAACACACACCACAAAAACAACAACTCAAAAGAAAAAATAACCCGTTGACCTTTTATCGCTGTAGTTCAATACCCGATGATGGATTATATTGATAAACATTGATCACACGAGAAATGCCATGTCAATTTTAGTACCTAATTTATCATACGCTGTCGTTATCTCGAGAAATCTCGCTCAAACTCACAACAACCCGCCATCATCAAACGAGACGAGCTTCTCCCCGTGTACTGCGCATGTCTCAGATCTCTGCTTTACTGCAGACTTCCGGTACGCCCACGTCCTCCGTGTGATGGAACGTGATCATCTTCTTATGATATAGACCGTAAAATGTCCATAAATGTTGCTGTAAAAACTTCATGGTCTGTTTGCTCTTGTGATGAGCTGGCCCAAACTGGACCCGTTATGTGGAGCTCCACCCTGGCAATCAGCGTTTGTCAGCGAGGTGGCTTTGTTGCTGGCTCAACATTGGGCAGGAAATACAATTACAGCTTGATGCTTTATGTAGGCTAGATCTACATGGGCACACTCAGCCAGTTCCGATAGGGATGAGGGTGTAATGACAATATACATGTGAATAGTATAAATAGAAATATGAGCATTACTAGTCTAAATAGAAATATGAGAATTACTAGTCGAAATAGAAAGTTATAAATTATTGGTCTAAATATAAACATGCAACTAACTAGTCTAAATACCAAAACAAATCACTAATTTCAATACAGATATATACTTGATGAGTGTAGATACAAATAATAACATTTTTATTTAAATAGAAACATACACAATCTTAGTTTGAATATCACCGATTACATTGATAAGTAAATGTTACAGACATAAGTTATTAGAGACATAAAATTGATGGGTGGTTATTGCTCGTTATACACTTTTCAATTAAGATAGTAGTCAAAACCTAAAATGGTGTAAATTAAATAGTATGCATTATCAATTCAACGTATCAACTCCAATTTTATTGGTCAGTATATGGCTACTGTACTAGCGTCCATATAATACAATATTATTATAACTAGTGTTTGATGGAAATAATGTATGTTAAACTATGCCAATAAACCAGTGAAGCCCTCCCCACTATTAACCAAACACACTCTAGCGTTAATTCCGTTAATCTATTGTGTAATTAAAAAGTGAAACTTGGGAGTTCGACAAGAGACCAAGACGACTATCGTAGCGGGGGGAAATGAGCAGTTCGCGTGTTGGCGATTAGTTAGGTGTTAGTGCGGCAATCTTTCTTCCTGCCCGGGCTGGGAAGCGAGGGCCGATTCCAGGAAACAAGGGTCCGGTTCTGGAATCCTCAAGATACAGTCTCGATTGCGTGGATACACTGGTGGATTAGTTCTGTCCGTGGTGGATTATTTCTGCTCAGATTAAAAGGATAATCACGACAAGACACAATGATTGCTGAGGTTTATACAGACAAATGGCTACCATGAGACACAATTGTACATAAATCAGTTAACATGAAAGACACGGGGCCAACATGAGACACCATCGTACACAAATATGTTAGTATGTCGTCGAATGTGTACGAATTGAATGTAATACTGTCAAATACATCACCTAACAATATACTTTATTGCGGGAGGTAATCGAAACAAATCATATTTTAATACAAATAGTAGAAAATACAACAGTTAACTTGGTATAAAAACAAGTCAAGTTTTTATTTCTTTACGTATTTAAAAACACTGATAAGAAAACATTAGCGTTGTTACACAGCATCAACATCGTGGATAGTAATTTGTTTTAAAACCTTGTGTAGAGCAGGTCACCACTTTATTCATCAGCTCTAATTTTTAATCAATCCCAGTAATTTGTTCTTCACGTTTTAATTAACTTTTTATCCCTTTATGCTTATGAATCATAAAAAAAATCACTACATTATTAATTTATAATACATATTTTTACAACACATTTCATCAGCTGATGTCCTATTTTAAAAACACATATATGTATCCGACTAAAAAATGTCCTAGATTTTTAATCTTATCATTGATTAAAATAAAAACATTACGTGACAAAAACAAAGAAAATTAATCTTGTTACCTCTATACCCTACGAACTTTGTTATTGCATTTTAAAAATCCGCTATTTGATATTTTCCTTTTTTTTCAAAGCCGCAAGCACACACACACACATACACACATACACACACACACACACACAATAAGCAATAACCATGTTTTTAAAAATTGACCTGAATACGTGAGTGAATTTGTGTTTTAAAAAATGAAAACAAAGAACGCTTGTAATAGAAAGCAGTTTTATGTAAAATATTTCTAGCAGCAAAATGCATTAGCATTGTAAAATACGAACCCCCATTTAAACTAACCTAATAATATTTGCTGTAACGAAATTTCAGAAGTTAAGAATTCAAATGCCTCTCATCTCGCTGAAAGCCCCAGCTGGGCCGTGGCGCTAGTGAATCAACACTTTACAACAAAAAAGGGGGAATAATGCAAATTATCTGCCCCTAGTAGAGCCATCCCTCTAATCGTTTAGAGTTACTCTTCCATATTTTGATCAAATTTAACCAACCGCTTTTAAGACAGGCTTCTTCACCCCCTATGGTTTTTTTAAACAATATGAAGGCGAACAAAGACGGACGATTTTCGATTATTATATAAAATACTTAAAAAAACTTTTTAAAAAACCACGTTTTTCTTGTGGACTAAAAAGTAGAAAATAACTATTTACATACATTTGATGACAAAAAACGTGGGTACGTTCACCATCAAATTTCCCGACCCATCTGCCCGACCCACGTTTTTTGTCATCAAATGTATGTAAATAGTTATTTTCTACTTTTTAGTCCACAAGAAAAACGTGGTTTTTTAAAAAGTTTTTTTAAGTATTTTATTTTCTCCTTTTTAGTCCGTTGCTACCCATGAAAAACGTGGTTTTTAAAAAAGTGTTTATAAATACACGGACTAAAAATCTTGAGCGACCAGGATTCGAACCTGGGTTGTCGCGGCCACAACGCGAAGTACTAACCACTATACGATCACGGCCAGCGCGCTCACATCGATTGGGGCCGAAGTAACTGTGTCAATAGGCTTCAAGTCTTGTCGGTATCTTTAGAAATCATGTCCTCAATTTTATGGTCCTTGGGGCGTAATTAAATTAAGCTAATTACGGTCACTAATTGCTAGTTTTTATGATTGCATCTGAAATTGTTAGGCGAAAGTAGCATGCATGCCAAATTTCAGGTCTGTAGAGCAATCAGAAGTGGGCTAATTTTCGATGTCAATTTTAACAACAAACATCCAAACAAACAAACGCGAAGCTGAGTTAAGAAAAACGTTTTAAAAAATAATAATTGATGGGGAAGGGAGGGGGCTCTAGGGGGTTTCATCTCTGATCTTATTATCCCTCTATTGGGATTTTCTGTTATCGTTTTGAGATCCTCTAACGTTCTTTCTATTTGGATGGGAGTGCTGACAAATTCTTACTTAAACCACACAGGCCTACTTCATTTCATTCTCCGCTGAGCTGTTTCCAAAATTTGTAATTTAATAAGAAAGCTTGAGTGATATTTCTTTTTATTTATAAATGTATTTCGCGTGAAATTTGAATTAGCGTGTATATATATATATATATATATATATATATATATATATATATATATATATATATATATATATATATATATATATATATATATATACACACATATACAGTTATGCATACTTGATTAACATGGACTATGGAAAAAATACACATTTCAGCATAAGTAACTCAATTACTGATTTGAGAAATTCGAAATACTACATTTTGTTTATTCATTACCATTTTATTTATTTACTCTAACTTACAACCGTGCATATTTCTGCTGATTTTTAATAAATTATCCAATTAGGTTTTCTATTCATTTTTTACACCACAAGTGGGCACCTAGCAAATATAGCAAGACCACATGTAGATCAGTTGTATCGCTATGTGGCAGTATTGAATTAGCAATTACCTTATCGACAACGGGGTCATGACGTGCATGTTTTAACTTGGCTGAACATAAAGTCAATGTTTCTTCACGGATATGGTTTCTTCATATCGTTGGATGCAGTCAGAAGAATGGATAGATTTCGATAGGTGGATACAGTCAGATAAGTGGATGAAGTTTAATTAATGGATGCCGTCAGATTAATGGATAGAGTCAGATAGGTGGATGCAGTCACCATGGTTGGCTTCGGCAAGTTAGTGGATGTAGTTTAATTAATGGATTCAGATAGATGTGTTTGTAGATGTAAGCAGGTTGGTGTATGTAGGCAGGTTGGTGGATGTAGGCAGGTTGGTGTATGTAGGCAGGTTGGTGTATGTAGGCAGGTTGGTGTATGTAGGCAGGTTGGTGTATGTAGGCAGGTTGGTGGATGTAGGCAGGTTGGTGGATGTAGGCAGGTTGGTGGATGTAGGCAGGTTGGTGTATGTAGGCAGGTTGGTGTATGTAGGCAGGTTGGTGGATGTAGGCAGGTTGGTGGATGTAGGCAGGTTGGTGGATGTAGGCAGGTTGGTGGATGTAGGCAGGTTGGTGGATGTAGGCAGGTTGGTGGATGTAGGCAGGTTGGTGGATGTAGGCAGGTTGGTGGATGTAGGCAGGTTGGTGGATGTAGGCAGGTTGGTGTATGTAGGCAGGTTGGTGTATGTAGGCAGGTTGGTGTATGTAGGCAGGTTGGTGGATGTAGGCAGGTTGGTGGATGTAGGCAGGTTGGTGGATGTAGGCAAGTTTGTGGATGTAGGCAGGATGGTGGATGTAGGCAGGTTGGTGGATGTAGGCAGGTTGGTGGATGTAGGCAAGTTTGTGGATGTAGGCAAGTTTGTGGATGTAGGCAGGTTGGTGTATGTAGGCAGGTTGGTGGATGTAGGCAGGTTGGTGTATGTAGGCAAGTTTGGTGGATGTAGGCAAGTTTGTGCATGTAGGCAAGTTTGTGGATGTAGGCAGGTTGGTGGATGTAGGCAGGTTGGTGGATGTAGGCAGGTTGGTGGATGTAGGCAGGTTGGTGTATGTAGGCAGGTTGGTGGATGTAGGCAGGTTGGTGGATGTAGGCAGGTTGGTGGATGTAGGCAGGTTTGTGGATGTAGGCAGGTTGGTGGATGTAGGCAGGTTGGTGGATGTAGGCAGGTTGGTGTATGTAGGCAGGTTGGTGGATGTAGGCAGGTTGGTGGATGTAGGCAGGTTGGTGTATGTAGGCAGGTTGGTGGATGTAGGCAGGTTGGTGGGTGTAGGCAGGTTGGTGGATGTAGGCAGGTTGGTGGATGTAGGCAGGTTGGTGGATGTGGGCAGGATGGTGGATGTAGGCAGGTTGGTGGATGTAGGCAGGTTGGTGGATGTAGGCAGGTTGGTGGATGTAGGCAGGATGGTGGATGTAGGCAGGATGGTGGATGTAGACAGGTTGGTGTAGGCAGGTTGGTGTAGGCAGGTTAGGTTGTTGGATGTAGGCAGGTTGGTGGATGTAGGCAGGTTGGTGGATGTAGGCAGGTTGGTGGATGTAGGCAAGTTGGTGGTGTAGGCAGGTTGGTGGATGTAGGCAGGTTGGTGGATGTAGGCAGGTTGGTGGTGTAGTCAGGTTGGTGGATGCAGGCAGGTTGGTGGTGTAGTCGGGTTGGTGGATTTAGGTAAATCGGTGAATGCCCTTAGATTGTTTGTATAAATAAATGTATATAGTCGGATGCATTCCGAAGAGAAATTACCATTGAGAAATTAACTATTCATCTGTACATTGAGATTGATTTTTAAAAAAGGAATTTAATGACCCATAATATTACATTTTGAACTTAGTTTTTTTGTTCCCCATCAGTCACAGCATGACGCACCCTGTGGCCCAGCAAGACACATCCAAATGGCGCTGTAAAATGTCACTTCCGCTAAAACAACCATCAAAGGGAGGCAACTGGTTTCTGAATTATCCATGGATTGTCGACCGGTGTAAAAAAAAAAATGACATGACGTTAAAAATAGCGTCAGACACCTGAAGCAGCGTGGGTCAGGTATTGTGACACGGTTTGATGACATCTCGTAGCAGCGTGGATTCGCTTTATACCGAGAACTCTGGCATTGATGTTTGGTGGAGATTTGAAATCGCCCTGCATTAATCATTGTAATTGTAGTATCGATATCGATTTGTATCGCATTACTGAAGCACTTCAAAGACAGAGAGAAATACAACACTTAACGCAGCACTTTAGAGTCTTCCAACTCGATGCTAACTTACCCGTGTTGTTCGCACTTGTTTGTGTTGGTTTCATTTATGTACTTAAACACACGGGTATCGCATGAAACTGTATTTTTAATAGCTTTTTTCAAAAATATGAATTGGTTGATTGTCGCAGTTTTGAAAATACTGACATGATGAAGAAACAATCTTATATCTCTTTAGTCCTTTTCTTTTCTGAAGCCCCAACTCTTAACACAAAGAACGAAATAGGCTAGATATTATCGTATACCCAAAGCCTGTGTTTTTGTAGCGGAAGTGACGGGTAAACAACTGAAGTAACTAAGTTTATTTATCTGGTGACATGAGCAGTCATTAACATAATACAGTTATATGACTACAAGAATCAATCAACAACATTGTGTAGTTATATGACTAATGGAATCAATCATCAACATTGTGTAGTTATACTACCTGAGACAATCATCAACATAATACAGTTATATGATTACCGGAATCAATTATCAATATAATACAGTACAGTTATATAACTACCTGAGTTAATCATCAACATAATGCTTTCATCAACATCATATAGACATACGGGCAGGGGCGTAGCGAGGGGGGGCGGGGGTGCGGACCGCACCGGGTGACACCATTTAGGGGGTGACACCAAGGCAAAAAAATAGCAAAATATATAGAGAAAAACTTGAGGGGGGGGCTGCAAATTGAAAGTTTGAGGGGGAGGGTGCAAATCGGAAACTTGAGGGGGGGGGGGGTGTGCAAATTGAAGATTTTAAAGTTTGTCCCCGGGAAGGTTCGCTACGCCTCTGGGGGGTGACACCATTAAGTGCCGCATCGGGTGACACCCGACCTTGCTACGCCACTGCATACAGGTACCTAAAATAATTAATCTTTTCTTTTTGTGCCCAAGATACTTGGACTTCCACAGAAAATTCCCTCCACTTTTGTAGGTCTCCGGCAATTTTCCTTAAACAAAAATAAATGATATATTGCTATATAATTTCCTGAATATATCACCAAGAATATGTAGTTATATGGACCCATAAATTAGTCAGCAGCATCAACAATTAATACGGCTGCCTTTGTTAGCCATCTACATCAATAATCATTGCTACTTAAAACATTACGTGGCTACATGGGGCACTGATAGAACGACTAAACAGAGGGCATCACATTATTTAAACAAGTTCAAAGTTCGATGCTGCTTTAAATTATTGATAACATTGTACGCTGATTGTGTAATTGTAGTATGAAGACGTCAAACAGAGCATGAGTGACGTCAACGATCCAGCCCAGGCCTACACAGCTGGATAAGTTGGATGATATCCATTAGATTTTATTTTCTACATTCTGCTATACATAGTTTCTTTATAAAGATCTTATCGTGAATACCACATACTAGATACGTTATGTATAGTTCACATGGTTACGAGAAGGTTCCAACAACGGTTTTAAAATGTTTTTCTCATGGAATACAAGGAGATAATGAAGGAAAGCGTGATCTTCGACACTCCCATGCCAATAAAAAACATAACCATAACCCCCTCCACAACGCCTACCCCCACCCCCCCCCCCCCCCCACCACCGTCCTGAAATTCAAACTTTTGAGGATGTTCCGGATTCATTGAACCATGAAAACTCCGGCAAACAGTCGGTAATTTGATGTGACCGATTAATTATAGCTGGAAGGGTGTGGGCGGGGGGGTGGGGGGGGGGGGGGAGTGTGTCAGCATAGGCGTGAGTGATTCAAACCTCAGAAGTGATAGTGGGGGAGGGGAGAGGGGGGTTCCTTGCCATTGTTGACTAGGGGCAGATAACCTCCACATCTGTTCCCTTGTTACTTGTCTAAATCAGACATGTTGATGGAGTTGTTGCCCATCAGGTCATAGTTTATTTACCCGAATATAAGTACTTTTATAAATGTATATTTATCTCTCTCTCACACACTCTCTCTCTCTCTCTCTCTCTCTCTCTCTCTCTCTCTCTATATATATATATATATATATATATATATATATATATATATATATATATATATATATATATAACGATTAAATTAACACGAATAAATTAGTATGTGCATTATAATTTTGATTATTTAAAATCCGGAGTAACTAGGCCACAATTACCAGATTGAAAATTCTAGAAAAAAACACACTTGATGAAATCATTAACACCAAACCACGTGTCGTTGATGTGTCCACGTGACCGTTAGATCTTGATAACCGACCAAGCGGTCAGCGCGAGGACCTTATCTTGTTTCAACCAATCAAACATCAGAGCACACATGTAATAACATAATGACAACTGGGCCCGGGGTAATCCATTCACTGGGTAACTTGCAACTCCCCACAGTCTCGCCCCGACCCCTGCCCGACCCCCGCGCCGAGCCCTACTCCATTAAACCGCGTCACACTAACCAGAACAATTTTTCTAACAGTTCTCATTAATGCAAGACTAACGAGTAGCGTCCTACAGGATGCTCGGCGCTGTAACTTAATCAAACTCTGCTCGTCTACGCTGCACCTCCATCCAACGGGACGTCCGCGCACATCTCCCTAATCTAAACCAAGCGTCCCGTTACCGTTATGACTCCATCCGCACTTAGATTAACATACTAGTTAAGGTTGCGCTTCTATCTAACCCTCTCATATAGTGTTAGTTTCTCTTTAAAGGTCGCATCAATTCATTAAAACATCTTGGTGTCAGAAGCTAATCTTTAAAATTTTGTCTAAAAAAAAAGCCTGTCTGTTTTGACAAGGGGAAATTTTACAATTTGAAAAGCACTCAATTACGGCCCCTTTCTGGGGAGTTACAGCCCTTCTCTAGGGAGTTTGGACGCAGGGGTGGCGGTTATTCATCAAGTTTTGACATCCTATTTCACCCGGCCTTGAGATAACGATGTCCACTGCCCCGACGACTTCTTTATCCCAGCGTCGGAATATGGCAAGGGTGATACCTCTTTGGCCGTCCAACTCACGACCCTGACGATACCTCTTTGGCCGTCCAACTCCGGACTTTAACGATACCACTTTGGCCGTCCAACTCTGGACCCTGACGATACCACTTTGGCCGTCCAACTCCGGATCCTGACGATATTACTTTGTCATGGCCGTCCATTTCCATATACCACTTTGGCCGTCCAATCCCGTCCCCGTCCAATCCCCCAAGAGGCCGTCCAACCTCCACAATGAGGTAACAATTTTATCAGGGCCGTCCATAGCCTTCCCCGAGGATACTACTTGTTGTGGCCGTCTAACTCAGACCCTGAGAATACCACTTTTGTGGCCGTCAAACATCAGGCTAGGAAATACCACTTTCTCACGGTCACTCTTCCCCGCCATCACCACCATCAACCGCCAACAGCCCAACACATCGACAAGAAAACAAAATCAATTTTCGGAACTGGGAACCATAAAATGCAAATACAGTTTGAACAAAGGCCACTTGTAATAACGGCTGGGAACGTTGTTTGTGTCCATCGAAGCTCGGGTCTACCTGCTCGTCTGTGACTGTCGCACCATAAACCAAGCAAATAGCTGCACACTGTGGGGTGAGGTGGGGGCGGAAGGACGGTCGCTAACCTTAGTGATACGGAACTGCCAGTAGTCGATATCATCAGGTATCAATGGCTGATCATCGGATCGTGACGATCAGGTCGAACGATTCAACTCTGCAGTTCGATACTCAGGTTAGTTGATGGGACTCCGTGGAGACATTAAAACAAGATCTGTGGGGGTTAAATATCACCCTGAGGACATGTCAAATATCACCCTGAGGACGTGTCAAATGTCACCCTGGGGACATGTCAAATGGGACCGTTTGAGACTAAAAATGTGACCTTGCGAACACTAAAATGGAGATTCTGTAAACGTGAACTTGGACTAAGTAGAAACAATACTTTAGAATAAGTAGCATGGGACAGTGTGGAGATGTTGAGTCGGGGTCGTTGGAACTTGGACTAAGTAGAAACAATACTTTAGAATAAGTAGCATGGGACAGTGTGGAGATGTTGAGTCGGGGTCGTTGGAACTTGGACTAAGTAGAAACAATACTTTAGAATAAGTAGCATGGGACAGTGTTGAGATGTTGAGTCGGGGTCGTTGGAACTTGGACTAGGTAGAAACAATACTTTAGAATAAGTAGCATGGGACAGTGTGGAGATGTTGAGTCGGGGTCGTTGGAAGGTCATTGAGCTGTGACCAAGTGTAGACACAAAATAGGATCCATA